GTGATTAGATCGAGCAGGAATGTTGAGGGACACATCTGCTCGAAAGCTAGTGAAGATAATCATATCAAGAAGAAAAATGTAAATGTTGACATTCACATCCAATCTGAGATCTGATCAAGGCACGGAACCTGAGTATGTAGGAAGGAAAGCTCTGAAGCTTACATCCAACCTAAAACTATATTAACTAAATCGAGCAGGAACATGAAGGGGCTCACATCCGCTCAAGAGCTAGTCAAAGTGATCGTATCAGGAAGAAAGACGCCAGCATTTACAACCTACCTGATATTTGATTGAGCCACAGAGCCTGTGTAAACTATGAAGGAAATCTCTGGGACAAACATTCAATTTAGAAGGTGACTAGATCATGCAAGAACATCGAGAGACTCACATCCGTCGAGTACTAGTCAGAATGATCATACCAAGAAGAAAAACACTGGGATTTACATCCAACCTGAGATCTGATTGAGGCACGAAGCCTGAGTATGCTAGAAAGGAAGGATCAGTGACTTATATCCAACTCATAAAGTATAATGACTAAATCAAGCAGGAACAATAAGGGGCTCACATTTGCTAGCGAACTAGTCAAAGTGATCATATTAGGAAGGAAGACACTGGAACCTGAGATCTGATCAAGGCACAGAGCCTGAGATACGTGTTATGCTAGGGAGGAATGCCAAGGGACTAGTATCCAACATGAGTAGTGAACAGAGTGACTAGATCGATGAGGAATGCTGGGGGACTCACATCCAACTCGAGCAGTAGTCTAAGTGTAGGAAACCTTACTCCATTTAAGGTGATTTTACTCATATCCTAAAATTTGATTTAATATGCCTAATAAATTATGAAGGGCAACCATAATCCATTTAAGGTGATCTCACATCCAACCTAAGAGGTAAACAAAATAAATAGATGAAAAAGGAAAGTCTTGTTCCATTTAAGGGGGCCTCACGACCAACCCGACATTAATTGAGGATTTTGAAACTTATTTCATAAAGGGTAGTTTCATTCTCATCCTATGATTTGATTTAGTTTATGAAACCATATCTTACTCCATCTAAAAGGGCTTAATTCCAATCTTAAGAACTAGTTAAGAAAATGATGCCTTATTCTTATTTAAAGTGGGCTTAGTTCCAAACCTCATATTTGATTTGATTTGAACTAGTTTAAGAAAAGATTCTTAATCCTATTTAAGGGGGCTTACTTCCAATCTTAAAAACCAGTTGAGGAAAAGATGTTTTACTCATATTTAACTAAATCTCATATTTCATTTGATTTGAAAGTTTAAGAAAACATGCCTTACTTCTACTTAAGGAGCTTACTTCCAATCTTAAGAACTAGTTGAGGAGTTGATGCCTTACTTCTATTTAAGGTGAGCTTACTTCCAAACCTCGGATTTAAATTTGAGCTAGTTTAAGAAAAGATGCATTACTCCATTTAAGGGGGTTTACTTCCAATCTTCAGAAATAGTTGAGAAAAAAATGTCTTGCCAAATCTAATATGCTTGTTACATTAGGACGGAAAGATTTAATGTGATCTCACATCCAACCTAAGAAGTAAACAAGGTAACTAGAACGAGAAGGTTAGATTATCTTGGGTAATCCCAAGGTCTCCTGACTTAAATTTGTAATTGACCAGTGACTAAATAATGTGGTCAATTGAGAATGCTCGATCAACTCGTGTGATTTGAATCATCTGTTATGCCCTCACATGAAGAATTGATTATACAGTCAAACTTGGTTCTCATCGAGTGAGGCACATGTGGCTTAATCAGGGGGTATAAAGCTTAAGATGTTCCAACTTAAACATGTTACGACCAGTGACTAGATAGTGTGGTCAATTGAGAAGACTTGGTCATCTCATGTGATCTGAGTCAACTATCAAGCTCTCATGAAAGAATCGACTGAAAATCATATAGTTCGAGAGACACCGAAATCGAGTGGCTATGAAGCTAAAAACATCCTAAGACGAGATGCTCCCATGAAAAAGCAAACAAGAAAGTCATATGGTTTGAGAGATACCATCTACTAGATGAACATGGTAGTCTAGCAACATAAAATACTTTAGTAAAAAGCAATCAAGGCAATTCTTACTGCATATAGCATCACGACATCAATGGATATGAAGATATCACAACTAAACATGGATCAATTAGATAATCGAGGAGTTTACCACAAAACATGTTTAGCTTTAAGACAAATTTAAGTATATCATTCAAGGATATACACCACATTCAGTAATGAGAGAGAATAAACCACATTCATTTATAATGAGTGGCATGAGGCATGTGACAGAATGACACAGTACGAGAAATGCAATGAACTCTCTCACATCAATTATTGGTTGTGTTGGGTATAGAACACTTTAAAGAAATTACACTTTACATGGATAACAATCGAATAATCAATTTAAAGGAAACACAGGTCTTCTCTTACACAATGTCATCATGAGCTTAGTTGAATTGTTCTTTTAGTATAAAGTGATCATCACAAATAGCTCGCAACGAAGGCAAGTTAACTTTCAAACGATGGCCTCGGACCTAAAGGTCGGCCCATGAAGCCAAAACGAGTGGGCATACGATATGCCCACAATGAAGGGAATTCAACTTCATATGAATGACTACCTCAGACTCGAAGGCCGACGTGTTTAGCATAGATCAAGTGGGTTTTAAACCCTAAAGAATGCAAGTCAACTTTCGAAGGAAAGATTGTCTGGACTCGAGTGTCAACGTCTGAAGCGTAGAGTAGGTGAGTGGAAAGCCACACAGAAGACAAGTCAACTTTTGAAAGAATGAATGTCTGGACCCTAAGGTCAACGTTCAAGGCGAAAACTGGTTAGCATCATCTCACAAAGGTGATTCGACTTCTAAAGAAAGAATGTCCTAGACCTAAAGGTCAATGCGCAAGGCGTGAAACTGGTGGGTGTCAACCCACAATGAAGGGGGTTCAACTTTCGAAGGAATGAATGTCTTTGACTCAAATGTCAACGCATTTAGCATAAATGCATATGAGTGGTAACCCACACAAAAGACAACTTCTAGAGGAATGAGTATTTGGACCTAAAGGTAGACACACTTAGTGGAACTGTAGAGGTTGTAACCCACAGAAGGTATTTCAACTTCCAAAAGGACTGTCTGAACCCAAAGGTCAACGTGTAAAACATAAAATAGATGGGTGGAAACCAACAATGAAGAAAAATTAACTTCTAGAAAAAATACTGTCTCTGACTCGAAGGTCGACGCATTTAGCATAAAGCAGGTTTTTAGTAACCCCCAATGAAGACGATTCATCTTCTGAAGGAAAGCATGCCTCGAACCTCAAAGACGACAAGTTTAGCTTACAAGCAGATGGATCAAAACCCAAAAAGAATGCAACTCAACATCCAGAAAAAAACTGCCTAGAAAACGAAGGCCAACACATTTAGCTTGAAATAAATATGCAAATGATTCAGCTCAAAATACTTCAAAAAAACTTTCAAGTCATTTCATTCTTCCTTTTTTCTTTATTGGCAGAGAATTTTTTATAAGACTTGTTAAAGGATTTTACTAAAAGCCTCGGTTAACCCGCTATCAGAAATGACACAACCCGGCAAATCAGATCGTCTGATGTCACTAACTCGTGGGCTTCCCAATGTCATCATTAGAATTACAAGTTATATTAATAATATTCTTTATGTGAAACGAAATATTCAGATGGTATAAATGTAAAAAAGAAATTTTGATGGTAATTTGAGAATTTTTAGGGTCCGATTAGAAGTAACATACCAAAATTTGCAGGAAGATCAAAATATAACATACTTCACGATCAAGGGATAAGGATTAGAAAGGCTGACCTCAAGGAGATAAGATAGGCTAATGAGAAGTCAAAATATACTTAACACCAAGTTTAACATTCAATAAATTGGAGAATAACAATCTATAAAACTCGGATGGAAAATCAAGTTTATGTTTAATAAAGTGATGAAGACCAAATTGGTATTAGAAGAAACCCAAAATAAAAATAAAAATAAACCCTCAAAATCCATACCCATGTAACCTTATGCAACTGTTCAAAAGAAAAAAATAGTAATAATAACGTTATTACTTCATCAGCAAAATTTAATCACTTACTACACTTTTGCCCCCTATAGCTCCATCAACATATCCTGAATGTAAAAACTAGCAAAGAAAAAGAAAAATAAATAAATAAATTATAAGAAACCCTTCCATAAAGGCGAATTAGATGGAAACTTTCATAAAAAATAAAATAAAGTTATAAAACCTGTTGTTGGAGTGTATTGAGTTGTTGGCTGCGCATAAATTGTTTAGGTATAAAAGTTGCAACATAAAATATAGAAGTTTTGAAGACTCGAGTACTACATGATTTGACTTTGATCACCATAACTTGATTTACGATATGGCATAAAGCGGTGGTCTTTTGAGGCGTTCTTCTTCCTCCGATTCTCAATGAATGAATGAAGCTTTCCTGAAGCCTGCAAATGAAACAGAGAGATACGTAAAGGTATTAGTGTGATGCGTCTTGTTGAATAGCATAAGAGTTACAGTGCTTCATTTAGCAGGAATTAATCTATTATAGAAACCATGTTTCTATAGTATGCCATATCAGCCTTGTATTTTAGCTTAACTACAATGTATACAATGCAATCAGGTATCCTTCTCTTTATTTTTTTATTTTTTTACAATAAAAAAGATTTCTATAATCTCCCATCATCTGTTTGTTTCAATTTGACTGCCACAAATAAATTTGGTATGGATTACAATTATCATTATTGCCCGCAATATATGTTTTACATATGATTATCGTCATTCACATAAGCCCTGTACCAACAACTTAATAATCAGGTTTATGATTCCTCATATTTTTATGCATTCTTAATAAGCGCTACATTAGGAATTCGCTTGTTTTGCACAATAACTGCTTCACAATATTTTTAACATGTTAACATGTCATCTCAATTCCTTTTTTTTTTTTTTTCTTCCTAAATTTTCAACAATTATTTTACCCATCATCTTATTGTGCATCATCAAAACCACCAAAATTTTATCACACATTTATTTTGGCATTTCTTATTCTGCCATAATAAATTTGGCTATATGGGATTTCTTTATTGCCTGTCTTGCTCAATATAAATTAGCCCTTCGAAATTCAACCAACTAAAAAGCCTTTTCAAGTTTCCAAGATAATTCCTTATCGAACTCAACATCACCTACTCAATCCATCTAAATAAATTTCACGATTCTATTCAATATTCTCCTTTAAAAAAATTTCCTCTTTAAAAATCTATCATTGAATATTATTTTCAAAATATTATGTCAACCATTATATTGGTGTCTTCATATTTACTAAAACTATGTTATCTGCATTATGAGTACATCTAACTTATTTTATCGAATTCATCTCTTTAAATATTTTTTATTTATTTGTACTTCCAAGAGATGGATCCATGATTATTAATCCAAGTAAAAGAAAATCTGTCTGTGATTTGGTGGCCTAAATTTAAAATGTAACTAAATTTACTCCAAATTTCTTAAAGGATGTATTTGTTATTACAAGAACAAAGGCTAATACAAAATCAAACATAACTTCTTCCATCACATTCATATATCATATCCATCCATCATGAATCCTCTTATAGTCCATTATAGTAGAACTAGTAGAGCCTTTGAGTACATTTAAATCGCCACCAATAATTATCTTCCAAAACTGAGTTGTAGTATGTCATGCATCTCTTTCCATAATTAATATTTCAAATTGTATTCTGATCTAATTTTGATTATAAACACTTTCATTCACTCTTATCTTTTAAGAATTAAGACTGCCATTTAGATTAACCCTAGTTAGTTATCCTTCACATATCCATAAATATAAAAAAATTGCATTTGTAGCCATTACATGACTTAGTAATACTCTCAATTCCTTTACAAAGATCAAACTGTTAAAAATGGTTAAATCTATTTTATTGCAGGAATTCGTTTGTTTTTCTTTATTTCAAAATTACCATCAACTTGAGTACCATGAATGCGCCAAAACCTTCAATATTTAAGAGTCTCTAATCTTAAAATAAAAGGGTTGGAATTCCTATTGAGGGAACCAATGGGAAGTTCTACAGCCCTACTTGTTAGACAATGTTAAATAAGAGGTTCTAGAACCAAGACTTGGATGCTGGTCACACTTATCCATGAGAAAAATGAACAAGATATCCAATGGAGAAATGGTCATCCCAATCCGTGAGGGGGCACGGACACACTACTAAGGTATGGAGAGAGAAACCCTCTCCAGCATAATCTTCAAAAAAATCCATCGTGTAGTGAAGAGCACTAATACTTTTCATGACATGATATTGCAAATAAATAACAAATAAAAATATTGTTACAAGTTGCAAAAAGTACCTTTAGTTCCTCATATTTCTTGATGAGCTTTCTCTCACGAATTTCAGCTGCACATTCAAAATGTGTTACGTTTGATCAAAACTTCGTAAAGGAAAAAAGTGCACAAGAATCAGTTACTGACATTTCTTTAGATAATATGGGTGTTTTCCGTGTTTAGCTGCTTCTTTTTCTTTCTTTATATGCTGTCTCAGAATATCTGACTCAATGTTCTTATGAGAGGATGACTTCAGCTGCTTATCCTAAAATATGGCAAACGATTAAAGCACAATATGAGTTTACCAAAGACTCCTAGAGAGCTAATCTTTACACAATTATCAGAACATAAAAAGATTTAGTAATATGCAAAAAAAAACTCTCAATTCCTAAAAGGCTGTCTGGGATCACCAATTTTTTTATCATTTATCTTTTACTTTATTTTGTTTATGATTTGATCTGAAATAGAACATGCTCGGCATATTTGGTTAAAATATGATTTTTTTAAAAACGCTCAAACAACTGAAAATTATTTGGAATACTTTTAAAAAGGTATTAATTTGTTTTTAGAACCAAAATAAAAATTAAAAAATACACTAAAAAATTTGAAAAGGAAGGAAGAATATAAAGTGAATTAAAACAGTAATACAATATTCAAATTACTGATTTGCAGCCAAAAGCATTCATGAAATACAAATAATGAGCAATTATAATTTAATCACCAAAAAATTTCTAATCAAGTCAAATTCAAACAAAATCACATGCAATCAAGCCACTAACAAAAATGTAGAAGAAAATAAGATGAGTAAAGAACTTATCAAAATAAAAAAATCTAGGCCTCAGATCTACAGAAGGAGAAGACTCCTATAGAATTAGGTAATCACATATCCAGCTTGATCGAAAACTAGAAGAGCTATCATTTATTCAATAAAATATATCAAATTACATGCCTTAAAACATTTATTTATAAGCCCCTCATCCCAAGGTCCATAAGTATTATTGGATCGAGATTGACTAAATACTTGAGTGAATGATTCTATGCTGAGCTAATTCACAATAGCTTTGCTTTAGCAAAACTAATCTCGATGTCAAAAACTTATACTATATATTCTAGTAAGTATGTTAGTGTCAAAAAATAGCACTGCTTCATGGCCATAGAGCTACCTTGTCCAAATAACTCTAAACACATCGTAACTACTACAAGTTTTCCTTCTCTAAACAATTATACACCCATATATCATCAAAGTACACAATCACAAACTTCCCAATGAAAACTCAAAAAATTTGATTCACTGGCTTTCTAAAAGTATTCGGGAGCACTGGACAGACCAATTAACATGGCAATCCACTCATACCAATGTAATTTGTGTCTCACCCCAAGGCCTCATCTAATGATATCCACTACACATATCTATATTGAAAAACTCTAACTCCGTGTAACTAATCCAATGAGTCGTCCAGTCTCAGAATGGAAAACCAATACTTGATAGTAATCTTGTTCAATACCTACAATCAATGCATGCGCCACAACCCATCTTTCTAAGGCACAATCAAAAATTGAAACGATAAAAGGACTAGTCCACGACCATCAAATCCTTAGCCTTCTTTTGTAGTTTCTCATACTCCACAAGTCACATCTGGTAGGTTGGTCAATTAGGAAGCATTGATACTGGAATGAGGTTGTTGGCATCAATTTTTAATATCATGAGTGTAGAGTGTCCACCTACATGGCTTAGGGTGGTGGTCCACGGTCAGTCCATAGCATCCGGTAGCACAAGACACCCACCCGGGATCTTCCAGCACTTGTTAGGGGCAAGTGGCTAGGTTTGGTGGTGATTTGGTCCTACCCGAGAAAATTCCCTCTGGGAAGCCCATTCATTATGTGAGACTTGTTTGGTGTCTAATTTGATCATTAGAAGTCACTACATGTCCATCCAAAGCCTCCCATGGCCATGGGAGGTCACGATGTCCGCCTGAGCGCATCAGAGTCATGCTTCATGCATAAGTTGTTTCCCGTAGCTCGAGATATCCATTTGAGACCCTCCGGCATGTGCTGAGGGGCATGCGGCCAGGATCATTCTGCTAGACTTTAGCTTTCACTTAGGCTAAGACCGATTTGCATTTTGCACGTCGAACGACTCTGATCGGATCGACGAATATTATTCGCTGCACCACGGGCAAAAATGTTTCAAATTAGTCCAATCGTCAACAAAATTGTCTAGACGACCCCGGATGACGAAAAAAACCACGCGAGTGCGTTCGGAAAGTCGATTTTACCTTTAGAGGACGCCCATTCCAATATGGTGTCGAGTTCGAACCAGTAATGTGCAAATCGAGAATTTTATATGAATAAAATAATATAATAACAATAAAATTAAAAAATATCCCTTTTAATCTCACGCGATCCCCTTCCTTCGCACGGACTATCCCGATTGGCGAATCAGTTGTGCCCTAGCCCTAATCGTGTCACTTCGCTCCATCCTGCTTCGGCTAATCTCCTCGCGCTCGAGCCCCATCGACCGGCATTCCCTGTCGCAGCATATTCCTTGTCGCAGTATTCCTCCTCGCATCAAGGCCTCCTACTCGAGGATTTTCTCATGCCACCCTAGCTATCCCTCTCTCCTCTCAGCCAGTCGCACGCGTGGCCTCCTTACACATCAGCATCGAGTTCTCATCAAACCAAACTCCTTCCTACTCAGAGCTCCGGATTTCAAGCTTCGCAACTGCAGCACCTCTCTTAGGTTTCCCCTCACGCCGGTGAAACATCCTTCGCATTCTACAACCGGCGTTCACTCCCGCGCAGGCAGAAACTAGGGCAAAGCTTGACGCTCTCCCTTTCGCATTATTTGTGCATGCTGCCGATAAGATACTTCACCTCGTCATCCCTCACTCCCTAGAGGTCGGGAACGTCGTCGGAGTGTCCTACCATCGACAGACAGCAACGGTCCAGCAGCTTGAAGAGGTGTGGATGTCTTCTTCTTTGCAAGGAAAGCCTCCTCTCGAACTTCGTCAGACTACGAACAACCTACGCGTCGGTATACTTACGCGTCGGTATACTTCCTTAAACCCTTCATCTTTTCTTTCCTAGTTAGCCCTAGAATTAGTTTTGGTAGGCATGTGGATTCGATCGTCTACACAGGGTGCGTGCGTCGGCGTAAGCCAGCGCAGCGACGTGCCTATGTGATGGATCGTTGGTTTTCCTAGAGCGAGCCTTTCGGTTAAAATTTTCCACAAGTGGCCAAATACCGTCGTTGCGAAGCCGAGTGTTTCATTTTTTGTTGTGAACCGTAGCACATGCCCTGCGGATTGGAGTCTCAATCTCCCCCTGCTTTGGTTTCCCCAAATTTCCTCGAAGAAGTTGGGATGCTAGGATTTGCAAAGTGAGAAAAGCTTCGTAGCTAGCTCGCTTTACAAAATCGGGAGGAGTTTTGAAATAGGAGAAGCTTTCTAGTTGACCCGCTTCACAACCTTGTGAAGAGTTTCCTCCTTGGAATCACCGGGGAGAACTTCCCCACATGCCTCACCAAAGCAGCAGACGGCTATGTCGCATATCCAAATGCAAACCCTAGGTTTTCCCAGGTGAAGTCGCTAGTATGAGCATAACTCGATGTCCAGCATGATCATGTGTTTTCATTGCATGTGCATACATTTTATGAAACATTTTGCATTTTGCCTCGACCGGCCACCCCGGCCCAATCAGAATTTCACTTTGCTTCGACCGACCGCCCCAGCTCGGCCGACACGTCACTTTGCTTCGACTGGCTGCCCCGGCTCGATCGGCATTTCTTTGGTCCGACCGGTTTCTCCAACTTGGTCGACCAACCACTTGCATCACTACATGTTAATTGTTTGCACGTGTATGCTTGTCTGTCTGCATGATGCATTGCGCCCTATTGTGTGTTTGCTTGCATTATTAATATCATTTACCTGAGTTGGACTTCTTTTAGGTCACGGTTTTACCGGCATACCCTCCTTTCGAGCTGCTGCCTCTAAGACATGTCCATCCCTTCGGGTTATTGCCCTACCAGCATGCCCTCTTCTCGGGTCACTGCCTCCACTGCATGCCCATCCCTTCGGAACACTACTTTACTGGCATGTCTTCTTTTAGAGTTGCTGTCGTCACGGCATGCTCATCCTTTCGGGTCGCTGCCCTATGCATTTCTCTGTGTCACTACCTTACCAGCATACCCTCTTTCGGGCTGCGGCCACCACGACATGCCCTTTTTTTCATGTCACTGCCCTACCAGCATACTCTCTTTTCGGGTCGTGACCACCACGGCATGCCTATTCCTTTGAGTCACTGCCCTACCGACAAATCATCTTCTTTGAGTTGCTGCCACCAAGACATCTCATCTTCTATAAGTCAACCTTCACGGTATACTCTTTATCACCACTTGTATGAATTGATTGCTTGCATTTGCACTTGTATGTGTGCATGGTTAGCGAGTGAGCTCGTTAGGAGACTGATCCCGTGTTAGTTACGATGTTTTAACGAGCATCGTTAGTCGGATTGATCTAGGGAACTATGAGAGTTAAGTCGTCGGGATTGACACAAATATGATTATACTAAGGTTCCAAAGAATCTAACTCGTTTCACATTGCATGTTACGGGTACACATTTAATGACCCTAATTTTAAAAATAAAAAATATATATATTTTTCTACTTATCTTATTTGTAATAATTTTAAAATCATACATATAGCAAACTATGCCATATATAACGTCAACCCTTTCTATAATTTATCCAGGGTGACACTTTTTAGATCTTTCATACTCTTAGGCCGAGGCCGGTGCGGCGACCTCATCAAAGTCATACGTAGCCGGAGACTTACCATGCACTTAGATGCTGGTTAGAACACATTCTCGGTATATGGTGTAGGTAGTCATTTTTCGATGCCTCCGACTATTGTTCTGTGATGTTCTTACGCTAACGACGCCACACTTTTTTTTTATTTTTTGTGTCTGCATGTTTGATATATATGGTAGTATGTTAGGGAGTTTTTCTACATAGATTTGTACCACTTTATGCACACACACAGGTAATGTTATGAGAGAGCATGTGATAATTTTTTACCATTTTACTTGCATGTGCTATTCAGCTCCCTCAATTATAAGGCACGACTCATTATACGTTGCATGTGTTGGTTTTCCTGATAACATTTCTTTTCATGCAGGTCGAGCCATTTTCTCTTTTTTGTGTATTTTTTATAGTCCAAGAGAGTCCTATAGCAGAAATGAGATACAGGCACGGATTCCGACACGTTC